TAAACGATGAGGCAGTTCCAGAGGGAGAGCAAGTGTGGAAGAGGCACTCCATGTCAATGGCCTGTTACAGTGTGAACTAACCTTTATAAAAGAAGTGATATAGCCATAGCCAGTTTGGCTCAGTGGATAGAGCATCGGCCTGGGGGCTGAAAGATCCCGGGTTCGATTCTGGTCAAAGGCATATGCAGTCTCGATCCCCAAAAGGAGCCATGCAGGAGGCAACCAATCAATGATTCTTTCTCATCATTGATGTTTCTATCTCCCTCTCCCTCTCCCTCTCCCTTCCTCTCTAAAATAAATAAAAATATATATATATATATATATATATATATATATTTTAAAAAGAAGTGATGTAATTCCCAGTAAGATTTATAATGTACATAGTCTTTGATTTAACAACCTAACTCTAGGAATCTAGCCTATAGAAATAATAACAAGAGTACAGAAGGGTGCATGTGCAAGGATGTCTGCGGCAGCATCATTTGTAAAAGCACACAGGTGAAATCATCATAAATGGCTATCAACAGAAAAATAGCTAGAAACTTATGTTATATCTGGTCTATGGACTAGAATGCATATGAGGTATGAAGTTGGAAGTTTTTTCACAATATATTTTTAAATAAAAAACAGATCAGTATGTAAGGCATAATTTCTTTTCCATAAATATGTGTGTGAGTGTACATGTATATCTATGTAGAGAGAGATATATTTGATTTAACTTAGGAAACTAAGTTGACTGATAAATGCTAACAGACTAAACGAAGAAACTTTAACTTCATTATGTAATTTTTTAAAAACTTCATAAGGGCAATGTTTAATTTTTTATCCTTTTAGAACTTTTTAAATACAAACTCACATCTGCCTTCTAGGGAGGAGGATCTGGGTAAACAGGAGGCCCTTTCCTTCTTGGATTGCTTACCATCACCAAGAGGAGGCCTAACAGCAAATCTACTGTGCCGGGGACAGTCAGTCTAGAGGGATGAAGACTTAAGATGAGAAGAAAGACAGAGAAAACCTACTGAGAAGGTAGGAGGTTTGGGCGACCACAGGAGGTAAATAAATCAATGAAAATATCCTAGTAGGTCTCTTAAGAGAAAAGGACTAACATATTTGGTTCGAAATTATTGGAGTTGCTGTCATGTCCTTTCCTCTGTGTCCAACCCCAGGCATCCTCCAACAAACATACACTCACATACACTCACATACAAAATTTAAAAAATAAAATAATGACAAAGATGGCTTTCATCATCTCTAAGCTCCCTTCTGACTAAAATGCTGGTGACTTTGTACCTTTATAGTGGCTGTCCTCACCTGGCCCACCTCCACCCCACCCTCATTTCTCCCAGGCTGCCTGTCCCACCATTCATCCTCCAGATGAGCCCTGCATTCCTACACCTTCCAGCTCTTCTCTGTGCCTCTCTTGGTCTAGGATCCCTCTACTCTCTCTGCCTCAAGGACCCTACACAACCATTAAAGCTATGCTCAAATGTGCCCTTCCTAAAAATCTTGCTTGTCCTCAAAGCAGAATTAATTAACATTCCCCTCTGAGCTCCTTCTGTTACATTGGGTAGAGGAAATAGTGTTGCCATCACTCTCCCCCCACAGCCCAAATGTGTTTGCTTATCTCCTGTCCTCAGCTTCTAACACAGTGTCCCACACATTGTAGATGTTCAAAAATTATTGGTAAATACTGAATTAATGAATGAATGAATCCAGCTTTTGTCTAGCTTTGATTTCAAAGTCCTTCCTGGCATTGAAGCTGAAATCTTTCTCCCTATAAAATGCATCCAGTGGTCCAAGATCTATGGGAACATTCTGCTCTAGATGCCTCTTGCTCTACCCACAAACATGTCTCAGGGTCATTCCATCAGTTGTATATACCAGGCTGTGCTGGTCCCTGGAGTGTTCTTGAAGCCTGTTCAGATTCCTAAGGTCCAGTTTTTCCAGGATGAGGGGTGACATCTAACTGAGTTTGAGCCAGGGCCTGCCAGAGAGGTGGTATCTGGGCCAGGGGAGGTGACACTGGCACAGAAAGAGGGTTTTTCTCCAGGTAAAAGGCTGATTTTGCCCTGCGGGTGATGGCCCTTTAATAGCATAAGGTTCTTGTGAAAGTCCTTGGCCTGGCCTGGCTGGGCACTGAGAACTGGCAGTGCCAGTCCTGGCAAAGAAAAGCCCCACCCAGGTTCATTGATCTGTTTCTATCCTCCGACAGACCCTGGGCAGGAGTCAGCACATTTCCTCTGTGTACAGATCTTCCCTGTGCCAGGCTCACAAAGACAGTTACCTGAGCTGAGCAGGTCAAGCAGACTTTGAGTTGTCCATGTCTTGTGTGTGTACCCACATGCCTTCATTGTTACTCCACTTCTCTTTTCTCTCTCCAAATGTTTCTCTTATTTTCTTTCTAGTTCTGATTTTCTTTCTTGATGTCTATGTCTTTTTCTTTGTCTCATTGCAACCTTCCTTCTTTCCTTCCTTCCTTCCTTCTTTCCTTCCTTCCTTCCTTCCTTCCTTCCTTCCTTCCTTCCTTCCTTTCTTCCTTCCTTCCTCTCTTGCTTCCTATGTTTATTTCTTCTCAGTCTTTCTTAACTTCTGTCTCTCATTCTTACACCCTGAGTTTAGACTCTTCCTCATTGTCCTGTCCACAAGGACTTCCTTTCCCTCCTCATCCTCATGCCATCTCCTCTTCACCAGCATTGCAGAAGCCTCCCCTTTGCTCTCCTGCCTGCACTGTTGGAAGGAAGTCAGATGACTTTTTGTATTATCTCCCCCACCTTCTCCTCCAAGGCTCTGAGCAAAGAGGCCACACAGTCTCCCACTCTACGCAAAAATTGTTTCAGGTACCACCCCTGGCGCCTGACCCTTACCAGGATTCTCTCTCAAGGGTCAGGTTGACCAATGCTGATACACAAAGAACAAACCCGGGCCCCTGGCCAAGCCAGAGGGAGGTTGGCTCTAGGATGCCCTCAAGCTGAGAAGGGCAACCCAAAGAGCAGTTCTTACTCTTTCTCCCCATTTTCTAAGTCTGGGCAGGGTATCTCTGGGTACTCTGGCCACCTCTGGGTGGTCATGAATAAGTGCTATGAATTTACAGCCATAAAGATGTAAGGAGATCTGCCCATTCTATACCCTTTCCTGATTCCTCATAAAAGTTGAAATGAAGGCCCCTGCTAAGCTCATCGCCACTCTGAGGGGCTTCTAGGACATGGTGTGGATACAGATGAAGTGTCTCTTTCTTCCATTAATTTATTCAATTAATGTAATTGAGCAGTAGCATCTCTGGGTTTGGGAACTGAGATACAAAATGTTTCTAGTTCTCAAAGACATTATGACTGAACAGAAGACATGGATCAGTATACAGGCAAATTAGAAAAGCTTGGATAATTGCTAAGGACAGTATGGATAAGGTGTTGGAATATAAACAGACTAGCATATGTAAAGATACAGAAAAGGACATTTGAGTCCTTAATTTTTGCAGAAAACAACAATAAAAGAACATTTGTGTACAGTAGTCTCCCCCCTTATCTGTAGGAGTTACATTCCAAAACACCCAATGACAGTACTGAACCAATATATACCATGGGTTTCCCTATACATGCATACCTATGATAAAGTTTAATTTATAAATTAAAGTAGGAAATTTCACAGTTAGATTTGTTCTTACCATAAATCTTGGACCTAACATACATGTTTTTCTTTCTTTATTAACTTGAGAACTTTCACCTTTTCACTGAAAGGAAGCACTTTACAGCTTCTCTTTGGCATATCTGACTTGCCAGCATCATTACTCTATTGCTTTGGGGCCATTATTAAGTAAAATAGGGGTTACCTAAACACAAGAACTGGGATACCATGATAGTCAATCTGATAACCAAGATGGCTACTGAGTGACTAATGGATGGGCAGTGTATGCATCATGGAGACACCGGACAAAGGAATGTTTCACACACCAAACAGGACTGAGCGGGACAGAGGGAAATTTTATCATGCTATTCAGAACAACATGCAATTTAAACTTTATGAATTGTTTACTTGTGAAATTTTCCACTTAATATTTTTGGACTGAAGTTGACCACAGGTAACTGAAACTATGGAAAGCAAAACTGTGAATAAAGGGGGACTGACTACTGTATATGCAAAATGCTCAGGAGAACTGTTACTAATTATAATGGGGGGGAAGTATGAAAAAATGAGCAAAGTCTTAACAAAAACTAATGGTCAAAGATTTGACTTGCTTTCTACCTCCACAAAACTCTACTGATATTTTTATTTGAAGTTGATATATGTTCATCAGTCCTTAAGTCCTGATTCCCCTTAAGCCCTGATTCCAGATCAGACATACTGCAGACAGAAGAAGAAAGACATGGTAGAAAGAGGATTTAGAACCAAGAGGTTGAATCATAGTTGTCTTTAACATGTCACTTTGAACAAATCCCTTCTCTGTTAGCCTTTATTCCAAGGCTCCATAAACATTAAAAGTGATGTTGTTTCCCAGACTGATAGCCAACTGGTGGGTTCTGTCATGACCTTGCAACTGACTCTTCTGTGTCCTCCGTTATCATTCCTGAGTTCCTAAAGCAACAGTTTTTTGGGGAAGAAAGTGTGGGGTATATTTTCACACATTTTATAAATGAGGAATAGAAAAATATTTCAGTCCTACACCTCACCCCCAACCTACCATTCACCACATCTTTCCAGTCAAGTAGATGGAAAGAGGCAGATAAAAGACTTGAGTTATATCTTAAAAACAAACAAACAAACAAAAACTGTATGGAATGAAGCAGGAAGATAAGCCAGTTCAGCTCCTAATTTTAAGATTGGGGAAAATTAAGCCCAGAAAGAAGAGTGGCTTAGCCAAGTTCACATAGCAAGTTAGTGATACAGCTAGAACTCAGAGCCCTGCGGAGCCAGCTGCCAGTGCTCTGTATTACACTCAATGTGTCCACATCTCTGCCTCAGTTCCCCAGGTGCCCCATGACCAGTTTCTCTCCCCATTCTGATACCTGTTGCCCACAGTAAGGCTCCATCCTTCACAGAGATAGCCCATATCCTACAGAGCACATCAGGGCCACTTCAAAGTGTGTCTTGGTGAGTTCATGAGATCTGTCACCCTTCTTCCAGGTGGGTCATTGAGGCTTTCTGCAACAGGCAGGTGTCCCATTGGCAAACGCCAGCATTGCTTCATGGAAGTGGGTTTCTGCTGACAGTCTTGAGCCATAGCAAATTCTCTTCTTACCTAGACAGAGAATGGGTGAGATACAATATAGAGGTAGGGTAGAGGAGATGGAGACCTACTTATTTCTTTGCTAGAGGACATACACACTTCCAATTTCAACCAGAACAACATGTATAGAATCACAATCCTCCCTCCTAACCCTCAGGAAAGAAAACTGATTCTTTATCCATAGAAATAACATGACTGACATCAGGAAGGGTGAGAGGAAGTCAGCTTTGTGGGCATTTATATAAATAATAATTTTCCACTGGGAGCTGTGAATTCTCCTTGTCTTTTCTATTTTTAAATGTTAATTGCTTCTAATTTTGTTTACATAGGCGGAGCTAATGAGAACATAACCATTGAACTTAACATTTCTGTTTTTGGACACTTGTGATTTATTTTTGCACACATGCACCAAATTAATGCTAATTATTTTAAAGGATCAGGGTTTCTATTCCAAGAGGGATGACGACAGAATGTCAGTTTGCAGTCTCTAAGCATAATGTCCCAATTATCAATGCATTCCAGACCAGAATGGACTTGGCACCTTCTGGAAGGGATTTGGCTGCACTTTTATCAGCAAGTCCATGGATGTAGTTTTATTAAAACTTGCTTTCTAGTAACTGCTGAGTATGCCTATACTTTCCTCTGTCTCAAGGGCCCTTTAGTGCCATATCAGAATTCCAAATACCCACCTTTCCATATCCAGGTACAATACTTCTCTCTTAGAGTGTTTTTTGATCTTTTTGGTGGAAGATAAATGTTACTTCTGTGAAATTCCTAGAGTTTGTTGCTAATTCTTTCCTCAAAGCACTTTCTACATTGTATTGAAATTATTTATTCACCTCTTATCTCCTTTGTGCTTATAAGCCTCTTTGTGACAATATCTTATCTGAGTTATCTTTGTCCCCACTGCATGTTAAACTTCTCCTGTGGCTTGTATATATTATTAAGTGCTTTGTGCATTGATTCAATTGAGGATTTTTATACCTAATATTCTACCTGCCCCAATAAGATTTTAAGGAAGGTTTAAATAAATGTATATGAAACAAAAGAATAAATACATCTACACACAAAAAATGACCAAAGTCTATAATAAATTATATTAATAATCTGACTTATCTGAATAAGCCAAAGTTTAACTCATACCTAGAAAAAAACCCAAAGGTCTGTGCTGTGAGAGATGGTTGGAGAATAGTGACAAAGGATTTAAAACTTGACCCTTCCACCAAAGGAATCAAAACTTCACATAGTATATTTCCTCAACACAAATGTTAAGATGAGCACAGCAGATGAAAACCACCCCACTGGTGGAAAGGGGTCACTGACTACATTGAATGAATGTGGAGTATGTAGTGGCCAAGGAGATATGGCCACAGAAGAAAACCAGTAAACAGGTCCATCATAATTTGTTCTTATACCATTCACTTATTCACCCAACAAACTTTTATTGAGAAGCTTGATGTCAAGCACTATGGAAAGGTGAAAATGAACTCTTTAGACCAGAGGTCAGCAAACTAACCCAATGGGCCAAATCTAGCTCACCATCTGTTTTTATGAATGAAGTCTTATTAGAACACAATCATGCCCATTCATTTATATATTGTCTATGGTTATTTTTTTTCTCTACAACTTAAGAGTTGAGTAGTTCTGACACAGACTCAATGTCCTACAAAGAGTCAGAGAGAGGGAGGAGCTAACAATGATAAGATTTATCTTGAGAAACTGGGTAGAAAGTAGAGCTACTCTCTGGTATTGTGATCCCTCCAACTTTGTTCTTCTTTCTCAGGATTGCTGTGGCTATTCCGGGTCTTTTTTTTCCAGATGAAATTTTGGAGAGTTTCTAAACCTTTGAAGTATGCGATTGGTATTTTAATGGGGACTGCATTGAATATGTAGATTGCTTTGAGTAGTATGGAAATTTTAACGATGTTGATTCTACAAACCCATGGACATGGTATGTTCTTCCATTTGTTTATGTCTTCCTCTATCTCTTTTTTCAATGTCCTGTAGTTTTCTGAGTACAGGTCTTCTACGTCCTTAGTTAAGTTTATTCCTAGGTATCTTAAATTTTTTGGTGCAATGCTAAATGGGGTCGGGTTTTTTTTTTTGTTTCTCTTTCTGTGAGTTCATTATTGGTGTACAAAAAGGCCATAGACTTCTGGGTGTTGATTTGTATCCTGCTACATTGCCGAATTCATTTATTAGGTCTAGTAGTTTTTTGATGGGGTCTTTGGGGTTTTCTATGTATAGAATCATGTCATCTGTGAATAAGGACAGTTTTACTTCTTCTTTTCCAATTTGGATGCCTTTTATTTCTACTTCTTGTCTGATTGCAATGGCTAGCACTTCCAGTAATATATCAAACAGGAGTGGTGAAAGTGGGCATCCCTGTCTTGTTCCTGTTCTTAGGGGAAATGAGTTTGGTTTTTCCCCGTTGAGTATGATGTTGGTACTAGGTTTGCCATATAAGGCTTTTATTATGTTGAGGTATGATCCCTCTATTCGCACTTTGCTGAGAGTTTTTATCAAGAAAGGGTGTTGGGTTTTGTCAAGTGCTTTTTTGCATCGATTGATATGATTATGTGATTTTTGTCTCTCAGTTTGTTTATGTGATGTATCACATTTATTGATTTGTGGATATTGTACCATCCTTGCATCCCCAGAATAAATCCCACTTGGTCATAGTGTATGATCTTTCTATGTAATGCTGAATCCAATTTGCTAAATTTTGTTGAGGGTTTTAGCATCTATGTTCATCAAAGATATTGGCCTGTAGTTATCTTGTTTGTGTGGTGTCTTTATCTGGTTAAAGGGATAAGGGTAATGCTGGCTTCATAGAAGGAGCTTGGAAGTGTGCCTTCCTCTTGAATTTTTTGGAATAGTCTGAGGAAGATAGGTTTTAGTTTTTCTTTGAATGCTTGGTAGAACTCCCCTGTAAAGCCTTCTGGACCAGGACTTTTGTTTGCTGGAAGATTTTTTATCACTGCTTAACTTTGTCAGTAGTTATTGGCATATTCAGATTTTTGATTCTTCTTGATTGAGTTTTGGGAGCTTGTATTTTTCTAATAAGATGTCCATTTCATTTAGGTTGTCCATTTTGTTGGAATAGAGTTGTTCATAGTATTTTTCATAATCGTTTGTATTTCTGTGGGATCAGTTGTTACTTCACCTTTTTCATTTCTGATTTTGTTTATTTGGGTTCTCTCTCTTTGCTTCTTGGTGAGCCTGGCTAGAGGTTCATCAATCTTGTTTATCCTTTCAAAGACCCAGCTCTTGGTTTTGTTGATCTGTTGTATTGTTTTTTTTTGGTCTCTATGTCATTTATCTCCACTCTGATCTTTATTATTTTCTTCCTTCTGCTTATGATGGGATTTTCTTGTTGCTCTCTTTCTAACTCTTTGAGTTGTAGGGTTAGATAATTTATTACCATTTATTTCTTGTTTTTTTGAAGTAGGCCTGCAGAGCTATGAACTTCCCTCTCAAGACTGCTTTCACTGTGTCCCATAGATTTTTGATTGTTGTTGTTTTCATTGTTGTCTGTTGCCATGATGCTTTTTATTTCTTCTTTGATCTCTTTGGTAACCCAATCATTATTTAATAGCACGCTATTTAGCCTCCAGATGTTTGATTTTTTTTTCATTGTTTTTATTGTAGTTGATTTCTAGTTTTATGCCATTGTGATCTGAGAAGATGCTTGATGTGATTTCTATCTTCTTGAATTTGAAGAGACTTTGCCTGTGTCCTAATATGTGGTCTACCTTTGAAAATGACCCATGTGGACTTGAGAAGAATGTATATTCTGTGGCTTTGGGGTGAAATGTTCTGAAGATGTCAATTAATTCCATCTGATCTAGTGAGGCATTTAGGATTGATGTTTCTTTGCTTATTTTTTGTTTAGAGGATTTATCCAGTGGTCTTAGTGGGTATTAAAATCCCCTACTATGACTGTATTGCTGTCAATATTTCCCTTGATATCCTCCAGAACTTTTTTATGTATTTGGGTTTTCCTGTATTGGGTGCATATATGTTTACCAGAGTTAATATCTTCTTGTTGAATTGCTCCCTTTAGTATTATGAAGTGGTCTTCCTTATCTCTTGTCATGGCCTTCACTTTGAGGTCTAATTTGTCAGATATAAGTATTGCTACCCCAGCTTTTATTTCATTTGCATTTGCCTGAAAAACCTTTTCCATCCCTTCCCTATCAATCTGTGTGAGTCGTTTGTTCAGAGGTGGGTTTCCTGTAGACAGCAGATATATGGGTCATGTTTTCTTATCCACTCAGCTAACCTATGTCTTTTGATTGGGGCATTTAATCCATTTACATTTAAAGTTATTATTGATAGGTACTTGTTTGTTGCCATTTTTATTCTTTATGCCTGTGTTCCATCTTTGCTTCCTATTTCTTCTTTTTAAAGCAGACCCTTTAGCATTTCTTGCATTGCTGGTTTGGTGGTCATAAACTTCCTTAGTCCTTTTTTGTCTTTGAAACTCCTGACTTCACCCTCAACTTTGATTGATAGCCTGGCTGGGTACAGTATTCTTGGATTCAGACCCTTGCTTTGCATCACTTTGTATATTTTATTCCATTCCCTTCTGGCCTGATGTGTTTTTGTTGATAAATCAGTGGATAGTCTGATGGGAGATTCTTTGTAGGTAAGTTTCTGTGTCTCTCTCTGGCAGCCTTTAAGATTCTTACTTTGTCATTGGTGTTTGACAATTTAATTATAATGTGTCTTGATGTTGGTCTTTTCGGGTTGATCTTGTTTGGGACTCTGTGAGCTTCTTGGACTGGTGTGCGTTTTTTCTTCTTCCCAATATCAGGGAATTTTTCTGTCATTATTTCTTCAAACAGGTTTTCTATGCCTTGCTCAGTTTCCTCTCCTTCTGGGACCCCTATTATGTGGATTTTGTTTCATTTCATGTTGTCCCAAAGTTCCCTTAGGCTCTCCTCCTGTTTTTTTTAAAATATATTTTATTGATTTTTTTACAGAGAGGAAGAGAGAGGGATAGAGAGTTAGAAACATCGATGAGAGAGAAGCATCAATCAGCTGCCTCCTGCACATTCCCTACTGGGTATATGCCTGCAACCAAGGTTCATGCCCTTGACCGGAATCGAACCTGGGACCCTTCAGTCGCAGGCCGACGCTCTATCTAGTGAGCCAAACCAGCTAGGCTCTCCTCCTGTTTTCTAAGCTATACTACCAAGCCATTGTTCTCAAAACTGTCTGGTACTGGCACAAGAACAGACATATAGACCTATGGAACAGAACAGACAACCCAGAAATTGACCCAAGCCATTATGCTCAATTAATATTTGACAAAGGAGGCAAGAGCATACACTGGAGTCAAGACAGTCTCTCAATAAATGGTACTGGCAAATTTGGTCAAATACATGCAAAAAAATGAAACTAGATCACCAACTTACACCATACACAAAAACAAACTCAAAATGGCTAAAGGACTTAAATGTAAGATGGGAAACCATAAAAATCTTACAAGACTCCGTAGGCAGCAAAATAACAGCCATATGTCGTAGCAATATCTTTACAGACACAGCTCCTAGGGCAATGGAGACTAAGGAGAAAATAAACAAATGGGACTACATCAAAATAAATAGCGTCTTCATAGCAAAAGAAACAATCAACAAAATAATATGCATGGGGAAACATATTTGCCAATGATATTTCAGGTAAGGGTTTAATCTGCAAAATTTACAGAGAACTCATACAACTTAACAAAAGGAAGATAAACGATCCAATCAAAAAATGGGCAAAGGACCTAAATAGACACTTTTTGAAAGAGGACATTCAGAAAGCCCAGGGACATATGAAAACATGCTCAAAGTCACTAATAAACCAAGAGATGCAAATCAAAACAACAATGAAATACTATCTCACACCTGTCAGAATCGCTATCATCAACAAATCAACAAATGACAAGTATTGAGAAAAAGGAACCCTCTTTCACTGCTGGTGGGAATGCAGACTGGT